TTTTTGGTTGCAGCCGTCATTGTTGTTTGGCGGGCCCAGGCTGGATTCAAACCTGCCACCTTAGGTGTATGTGGCTGGCACCTTAACCACTTGAGCCACAGGCACCAGCCACTCAGCCTCAATTTTAATTTCTAATTCAGTGAATATTCCACACAAACAAAAGCTCCTTGGGGTCATTAACCATTTTTTTTTTTCAGACAGTCTTAGTATGTCACCCTCAGTATAGTGCTGTGTTATCACAGCTCACAGTAACCTCAAACTCTTGGACTTAAGTGAGTCTCTTACCTCAGCCTCCCAAGTAGCTGGGACTACAGGTGCCCGGCTATTTTTTGGTTGTAGTTGTCACTGTTAGGTTCGGCTGGCTTTAAACCCACCACCCCAGTGTATGTGGCCAGTGCCATAATCACTGCATTACGGCCACCAAGCCATCCTTAACAATTTTTTCTTTTTTTCCCTCAGAGACAGAGTCTCACTTTATTGCCCTCAGTAAAAGTGCCATGGCGGCGTCACAGCTCACAGCAACCTCCAATACCTGGGCTTAGGTGATTCTCCTGCCTCACCCTCCCGAGTAGCTGGAACTACAGGCGCCAGCCACACGCCTGGCTATTTTTTGTTGCAGTTTGGCCAGGGGCGGGTTTGAACCCGCCACCCTTGGTATATGGGCGCCCGGCGCCCTACCCACTGAGCCTCAGGCGCCGCCCATCCTAAGTGGTTTTTTTTTTTTTCCCCTAAACGATTTTTAAGAGTTTATATAGGCCCAGTGCAGTGACTCATGCCTGTAATCCCAGCATTATGGGAGGCCGAGGCCGGTGGGTTGCCAGAGCTCAGGAATTTGAGACCAGCCTGAACAAAAGGGAGCCCTTGACTCTAGCAAAAACAGAAAAACTAGTCGGGCATTCGGGCGGTTGTCTGTAGTTCCAGCTTTATGGGAAGCTAAGGCGAAAGGATGACTTAGGCCAAGAGATTCAGGTTGATGTGAGATATGATGCCACAGCACTCTAACCACTGCAACAGAGACTGTCTCAAGAAAAAAAAAAAGCTTATGTAAAGGAATCTTGAGAATAGAAAGTTTGAGAAATGCTACCTAAGGTCATGTGCAATAATCTGCACTTTACATTTGTGGAAACTACCACTGTAGTTTTTTCTTTTTGCAGTTTTTGGCCAGAGCTGGGTTTGAACCCGCCACCTCTGGCATGTGGGGCCGGCGCCCTACTCCTTTGAGCCTCAGGTGCTGCCCACTACCACTGTACTTTTTACTGGTCCTACAAAGGTTTACATTTTAAGGACCAGTTTCAGGCCACACGGTTAGTAGTAGTATTGCTGGCTACTGGGTAGTTTATTCAGGGTCGTCTAACTCGGGGGCTTGTATTTGTAACCATAACCTTTCCCTTGATAATATCTCTGCCAAACTTAAATGTTGTTAAAAGATATTTCAACAACACCAAAAAGGTCCTCAACGTATTTAACGGCATTTTTTTTTTTTGAGCTAGAATTTCACTCTGTCCCCTTGGTTAATTGTAGTGGCTTCATCATAGCTCACAGCAACCCCAAACTTTTGGGCTCAAGCGATTCTCCTGCGTAAGCCTCCCAGGTAGCTAAGACGACAATAGGCGAGCGCCTCCACGCCAGGCTAGTTTTTTTTTAGGGTCTCACCCTTGCACAGGCTGCTCTCAAACTCGAGTTCAAGCAATCACCGTTTCGGCCTCCTACAGAGCTAAGATTAGGGGCGAGAGCCACTGCGCGGAGCCTCAAGGGCTTTCTTTTGCTTACTGACTAGCTTTATGATCCTTCCTTCTTTGGGTTTGTTTCGACGAATTTAATTCGCGGTGCCGGAACCTCTTAAGTCTGATTTTTCCGCTCAGACGATTAATCTGCGGACTTATGAAGCTCAGTTGGAGTCCCCTTGACAACTCTGCTGGAGAACTGCAACCCACAGGGTTCAAATGAGGGCTGTCTTCACATTTATGATCCAGGAACGTAGGCATTTTCCCCCCAACCTAGGTTACTGGTAGCCTTCTCAGAACTGGCACGAGCGTAACGTCCTCACTTGTAGCGCCTCAGGCCTTTTATGATGCCCCCAGGGCTCTGATTGGCTACAGCTGACGACGGTGGGCGGAACCTGGCCCTGGATTCACCCAGCACCCGCTTTCACCTTCCAGCGCCCCACGTGAGTTGACGTAGGGGGTTGGGAATCGCCACTGTGAGCTCGGACTTTTAGGGGCGGGGCGTCATGGGCACCCAGGATTTGCGAGTGGGGAGCATCTCCCGTCATGCACCGGGACACAGCGACTCACCCGGAAGGAGAAGCAGTGATTCTGGCTATATGGTGGGGTGCGGGCGGTGTAGCTGTGGGGAGCTGGTGCTGCTCTCAGGTGAGGGGGTGTGGGCGGGGCCCCGGACTATTGGTGCTGCTCTAAGGGGAGAGGGAACCGGCTTAAGCGTCAGTAGTGGTTTTGGGATTGGTGGCCTCGCTTTCCATCCTAGGGAAGGGTCTGTCTAACCATCCGGGATAAGGAGGAGAGTTCGGGATCCAAAAATGGAAACCTGGCTTTTCTGTTCGCTTTTCAAAGTATAAGGTGTCTTCCTTTCCTACTCTCCAAGCTTACCCGAGAAAGGTGGAGCATGTGGCCCTTTTGTTCCTAGTTCGTTAAGAATGGAGGGGGAGTGGCCGTAGTAAAAATCTGGGGACCTTAATTCAAACGGTTGGAAATGGGGGCACTGGCAGATATTTTGTGCTGACAAAGGAGTCTTGGGCTAGTTATGGTCACTTTTGTTACTTATCTTCCAAGTGGAAGGAGGAGCAGGTAATAGACGAAAAGGAGGAATATAACTGGCTGCGATCACCCAGAGTTTGGTCAGACAGAGAAACTTCCTTTAGTACTGGTGAGTATTTAGGAAGAAGGACGTTTTGAGTTGCCATTTGGCACCAAGGTCTTAAGAATGATTAAGAAGGCTGGAATCTTGGCTCAAGTTGCTTTTTCACGCGATTTATTTTATTTTATTTTATTTTTGAGACAGAGCCTCAAGCTGTCCCCCTGGGTAGAGTGCCGTGGCATTACAGCTCACAG